AAAAAACGGCCAAAACCGCGAAAAATTCGATAAAAAGGAAAAAAATAAGTCAAAAATTTTGCGAAAATATTTATTGTTGGGTTACGGTAGCACTAGTTTGCCGGCTGTGTTTTCGAAAATTCTCCTTGAAATACGGTGGCCTAACTTGTGTGAAAATTCGGCCACAACTCCAATTTTTTTGCACAAGAATAATACTGTTCCATGGTTCATAGGACGAATGAAAAAATTATTTTCGAATTCTGTTTGAATCTGAACATCATCGGAACATAAAACTTTTTTTCAAAAAGTGAAAAAAATATGTTTGCTGTTTCAAACTTTAAAAAGTTTCTAGACAAACATTTTCATGAGATGTTTTCCCTTGTGTCTTATTAAAATCGATTCCAATCATTTTTCACAAAAATTCGACCACCTAAAGCCCCATTTCACTTCCTTGCCATTTGAGAAAATTAAAAATTTCTTTAATAATTCCATAGTTTTATGTAAACTTTACAAAACTTTTATGGCTTTAATGAATGAGATATAGCGGTTCCTGCTTCAGAGTTCACTAGCAATGTTTTCTCATTAAAATATTTGGCAAAATATGGAGAATTTGAAAATTTAGAAGTCCTAAAAATCAGAAAATTTCCCGTTTCAATAGTGCAAAATATATATTTCCATAGAAAAAAGATAATTGGAAGAGTTAAACATTTCATCGATTTTGAATTGTAGATAATCCCAATTATTATTTTTGGAACGTCTGAATCTGAACTCAATCCGAATATAAATCCGTTGAGAAAAAACTAACTCTGTGTGAATCTGAACATCATCGGAACATTAAACCTTTATTCTCTTTTCTTTAAAAAAAGTGAAAACATTTGTTTGTTGTTTCAAACTTTAAAAAATCCCTAGAAAAATATTTTCATGCAATGTCTGACCTTGAGATTTGTTATCACAAGTTCCATCCGTTATATAATAAAAAATTCAAAGTAAAAATAGTTACAAACAAACCGTTTTTAATCCTTCAAAATCTCCGTTCTGACCTGTATAATTTTCAATGTTTCAATAGTTTTATGTAAACTTTGCAAACTTTTTGTGGCTTTAGTACGTGTGCTACATACACTACTTTTCCAAAGTTTACCTACATTCTTGAAATTAGCGACGTTTCGATTACGAGTTGGATAAACTGACTAGGGAATGGCGNGAATCGGGNATGGAGNTATGACCTGTATCATTGAAAAGCTGAGAAAAAAGTATGGACCCTTATGAAATCAGAATTTGCTATAGAGCTATCAGTTCGTAGAAAATTAGGTCTGAAGCTCCAAATTGTCTACTATTTTCCCTTAATTTCAATTGAAATTTCGGATCGTGTGAACACAAATACATAAATCGAAAATTTCTATTGAAATCGAAGAAAAACAGTAGGCAATTTAGAGTTTTAGACCTGATTTTCTCCGAGCTGATGGCTCTATAGAAAATTCTGATTACATATTCGTTCATAACTTTTTCTCAGCTCTCCGATGATATAGGTCATGTCATACCCGATTCACGCCATTCCCTGTGGAGGAAAAATGAAAACATTAAAAATAATTGGTATAGGAAAACCCAAAATTCAATCCGAACATAAAACAGTTATATTGTTCAAAAAACAAACCGATATTTTTGCTGTTTCCAAATTCAAAAAATTTCTAGAAACATATATTTCAACCACCTGAAGCTTCATTTCACTTTCTTGCCATTGCCAAAATTCAATAGACTCAGATTTGCTAATTAACAAATAGAAACATTTTTACAAACAAAAAACATTTTTAATCCTTCACAACCTCCGTTCTGATCTATGCATAATTTTTACTGTTTCAATAATTTTATATACTTTTTGAATGTTCCGGGACTATAGTACGTGGGTCTCATAGAATACTGTTTCAGTTTTCACCCATTTTCTAAAAGTTATTAATGTTTTCGTTACGAGTTGGACAAAACATGAAAAAAATAAACATTAAAAATTTCTAAAATCGGAATTTTTGAATGTAACTGACTAATAATTTCTATTTCCCAAATGCAAAATATGGGTTTCAATAGAAAAAGTGACAATCGAGTTTTCGATATTTCATCTGTTTCGAAAAACCCAAAAAAAATCATATTTGTCTCTTTTTGAACCTGAACATAATCCATTCCTTTTCTGTTCGAAAAAACATTGATGTTTCGAAATTTCCAAAACTTCCAGAAAACTATTTTATGAGATGTTCGCCTTATCCATTCATCTTTTCCATTCATTTTTTAGAAACATTCAAACAAACCCCTAATAGTAAAATTCTTACTTTTTGGTCTCAAGAAAAATAATTTTGTGAGATGTTTGCTCTCCTCTTTTTATCATCAAGTTCATTCAATTACAATTTGTTAATGCTCATATAAACCCTAGTAATACAAATCCACCTGAAGCTCCATTTCCCTTTCTTGCCATTTCCCCCACCAGGCCTCCCATTTTCGGTGCCAGTCGGGTAGATCAATTAACTTACGGAGCCTTCGCCCCCGGCTGGTAATTGTTCCCTCTTTATACATACTGGTCAGTAGTGAACAACACGTTATACACATTTTATGTGAGTGGGGGGATCCGTTCCTTTTGTTTATTCAGTCAATCATTGAATTTCAATTGGAACCGGAGAGAGGAGGGGAAAGGGTTCATGGAAGATAGAATAGTTTTGATATCCAGGAGAACGGGAAAATTGGTTTATTGTGTTTGTCTGTGTTAGAGAGTGGTCAAATCATTTTAGAATGATTTTGGTAGGCCGTCCAGATTTTTCTAAACTTGACTATACTACCGTAAGTGCTTTAAAGAAGCTTGCACTTTAAGCCTAATATAAATAGTTTCATCTAAAAGGTGCTTAATTTGTCTGCCTACAAACATTGTAGATGATTTTACTGGATCAACTTGAAAATTTCAGAGTATACTAAACAGAAACATAGCTTGAATTTTATAGTTGACAACTTTTTTGTACAAATTCATTTAAATGAGATATACCGCTTGAAAGGGTCATAACTTTAACCTCAGGGCTGTTTCTGGGCTTGTTTTGTTCCAAGGTTTATATCTCATTTGGACGAATTTTCCCAAAAAAGTTGTTTAATTCAAAATTGAAGCTCTATTTTTGTTCAGTATACTCTGAAATTTTCTTGCATACTCAGTAAAGTACACCGTATTTTTTAAGCATCCAAAGTTGGTCATTTTCATCTTTTAGCCGGTACTGTATCCCCTTCAGGCCTAGATGTGTTTTCAAAAGCCTTACCTGGCTTTGGCTGATATGATCGTATCTTTACTGTTCTATACTTATGCTAATTTGATTTTAATCAAAACAAGCTAGCTGGTGCGGCTTCGGCGCGATTCAAAACTTATTTTGACCCACTTCAAAGATATTTTTACACATTAACCCTAAAAGTTTGAAACTTTCTCTCATTTCCCCAACTACAGATCATTAACCCAAACTTTTCCTCCGTATGATCCGAATCATTCGTATATCCCGGATATTTTCTGGGTTCCGCCCTGTTTTCTCATCCATCCTCCCCATTCTAATCTTCACTAGCTCCCGTCACTTTCTCAATTTTCTCTCGAATTGCTTTTGTTTTTTTTTGTGTCTGTCTCAATTGCGCGCATCTCTTTATTGTTTCTATAATCCGACAATTCGTTTTTTTTTCGACGAGAGAGTATCCAGATCAGAGAGATGCAGACAAATCTCAAGAAGTGAATGTGTTTGGGGATTCCTCGATATTATACTCGCACTAGTGAAAACAATGAGGGACATTAATCTGAGAATTTCCCTACTTTATTAACTGCTAATTGAGAGTTTGCATTCTAAACTTTTCACCGTTTCAATATTTATCTTTCTACTCCCTCAAATTTTTCTTCTTACTCTATCTTGTCGCGGCAATTTCCCGGTGTTTCTTATTGGCACTGAGCCTTCCTCTTCTCCCGTGTCCTCGGTAGTATAGTGGTGAGTATCCGCGTCTGTCACATGCGAGACCCGGGTTCAATTCCCGGCCGGGGAGAAATTTTTTTTTTGGATTTCACTCAACTTTTGTAGTTATGAAATAAGATTTTTTACTACTGAAAATTGCAAAAAATATTTTCTGTTTCACTTTTGATACATATGAATCGAATTTAACCATTTTTTGATAATCTTCTTTCTGTTTCAAGTTATTCATAACGCTCTCACAGTTTTCGAAAGTTAGTTAAACCATTATGATGATGAGTATACTCAAAACATTTTTTGAAATTCTCCCAGCTGGAAATCAAGGTTTTGCCCCAAATCCAAGTCAAGCTTTTCTTCCTTCTTCTTCTCTTCGGAACAACTTTCACCTACTTCCTGTAACCGTCACTTTCGATTCTCCTGGTGCCCTTTTGATTCTCATCTGCGTCTCTTCCCGAAGACATACTCTCTCCCCAGGTACTGGTCATTCACAGAAGCCCCCGAGAGGAGAAGAAATTGTTCTCCGGGCATGTTTGCTTACCGCCAAAACGATATATGTGTCTGTTGGGGTCTACTGTTCGGTAGCCGCGCCATTTCTCATCTCTCGTTTCGTTTTCAAAACACGTCCGTAAACCAAAATGACAGATGTGACTGTAGGTTAAATGGAAAACACGGATTTCGGCGGCACTTTTTTTGGGAATCTTTTTTTCTGGGTTATGGTCTTTAAGGATCTTTGGCAAGAAAGATCCTGAGATTGTTCTAATTTTTCTCAGTTGTTCTCCTCACTTCTGAAGCTTTCAAACAGAAAATAGCGTTGGTTCTCATAGCTCCTTCCTTCTTTTTTCTTCCAGTTCTTGAAACATATTCCCTCAAAATATAACTGTTTCAATGTTAGCGAAAATTAGTTTTTAAAATCTTTTCAAGGTTTTACGGAGCCCAAAATAAGTGCTACTAATGTTAAGTATAGAAAGTTATTTGGGATTTCTCCTTCAAAAGCCAATTTCGTATGGAATTCAAATTCTCATCTTTCTTTTTAATTCAAAAATTGTGAAATTTTTGTTTTATACAGTGAATAAAACAAATCGCAATGAAAGAAGTTGAAACAACATTCTTTGAAACAGCGAAAAAAAAGGAATTACTTGTTTCTAAATCTTAATTTCGATTTGTTCTTTTTTTTTTTGGTATCCCCTTGGAAGTAAATAGTTTTTCTTTTTGTTAAATTAGAAAAAAGACTGAAACAGTAAATTTTTGTTAAACTTGTAATTCTTTTTCAAAATTCCAAAAAGAAACATTGAAAAATTTACTGTTTCCAAATTTCAGGTGTTTTAAATTTCCAATTTTGTTAAGCGATCTGTTGGATGTCTTACTTCAAATTTTCATCGAAAACTAAAATTATGGCTGTTTCTAGGGACGTTTTGAAGTTTCCTATTTTCATTCTCAAACAGTAAATCGATAACTTTGAATTCTAGTTTTGGTTATGCTCAACGTTCACAAACATCGGATCGGCAATGCAAAGATATATTTTTGTAATAAAAAAATGCTTGAAACAGTACTTTCTTCAGATATTTTCATATTTTCTTGTTTTCTTTTCTCCAAAAACTTAGTTTTTCTGTTTTTGAAAAACTTATTTTTGAAAATCTCTTTTTTTTTGATTACCAAGTTGTTTATAACTCTTGATGAACTGAGGATATCCAAAAAAGTGATTTTTGAAAACCCATACTAGCACTGCAATTTTGAGGATCTTTCAGTAAAGATTTTTAGAATCCGACTTCTTACTCAAGTCAGCCTGGATCGAAATTTACTCAATTTTTGTTTCAACATGTTTTTGCAATGAATTGCAATGCCGAGCAGTCGAAACAACAAAAATTTTTATTGAAACAGCAAAAAAACCTTTAGAAATTTTTTTTTCTAGATAGTCGTATATTTTTACTTTTGTAGAGCTCTGTTTATGCAAATCTTTGAATACCAAATTTGAAAACTAGTTCCGATTTTTCTACTAGCCCACTAATTGTAAGTTTTTTTCCTATTTGAAAATCTTGATACCTTTTTGTGCTTTTTTCCTTTCAAAAAAATTGACTTTTCAAATTTTGAAGTTTTATTGAATTCGATCCATTAATTTTATCTTCCCTATTATACAAGGTAGTCTTAATTCAATTTTTCATAGAACAACGAAAGTTTTACTGTTTCTGAAATTTCCTTAAAATTATTTTTTTTACTCTTAAGATGTTTGTCAATCTACATATATTGACTTTTGTTTTCTATATGTAGTGATAATATCGATCTGCAATTCTGTTAAATTTGAACATTTTGAGATCATTACATGTGTTTCTTTTAATAAAAAAAAAACATTGACTTTCAATTTTAACATTTAAGACTAATTTCGTTGAATTTTTTTCATACATTGTGAATCAAGAGCAGTTGAAACAGCAAAAATAGACTTTTATCAAAAAATGTTTCCTTTTTCTAGACCGTATGATATAATTGAAATTCAAATTATTTGTTGATAGTGGTATGCTACACTTTGTTCAACACACTGTCAGTTTCCAAAAATTTATCTATATGTTTCCTAACAAGCTTCATCTTTTCTATTCAGTTAAAAAAAAACTGAAACAGTGAAATTTTTACGAAATTGAAATTTTATGGTGTTCTTTTTTTCAATTTTTCGACAGGTTGTGAAGGAAAGTAGTTGAAAAATTACTGTTTCCAATTCAAATTTAACCATCTTATTCAAAAATTTACTGTTTTCGATTTCGCTGTAACTCTTTGTAGAAATGATGTTCCGGCATAATAGGTGGTGAGCAATGTGTCGGAGACAAAAGTACAAAAGATAGGAACATATATAGGAGAGCGAGAGGGGTGTGCACCATCCATTGACAGCGATTAGGAGGTTGTAGCTTGAAGAGGTGTGACATCGGGATTCGGCTTTGTCCATGTGGCATCAGCAGTTGGGATCCTTCGTCAGCGAGTCCAGTGTTGCTGAGATCCTTTCGATGTTTCCATTGTATCAGATGTCTCCTCATACTGGCGATTCTCAATCCTTTTATAGCATCTCCTCGGCATATCCACGTTTATGCTCCAGATCTGATATGGTGATAAAGGAACTGATCACGCCAAATATGTAGCGTTAAATAGTTGAAGAATTGTGTTTATGACAATTTGTGTCATTCTAGATTTGTTCTACATAGTATTGTTAAATTTAAGGTCGTGCAGTAGAACTTTTTGTAGAAATGATTTTTTGTTAGATTACCAAGGATTCAGAGTAATACTAGAATCCATAAAACAAGAGCTTCATAAGGATACGACTAGCAAAATTTTTGTGATTCCTTATCTTTTAATTGAATTGTCATGCAATTGGAAAAACAAAACTTTAATTGAAACAGCGAAAAATCTCTTACAAAAACTTGTTTTTCTCGGTTTCTAGATGCTATTATTTTCCCATTTGGTCAAATCCTGTCTAGTAAATCTACTATTAGGTTGGCCGGAAAGTAACTGTCCATTTTTTTATTCGTGAATAACACAAAAACAAGAACCATCCAAGATTGACAGTATGCACCGTCGTGGTCCACGACATGTTGACAACGTTCAGGCAATTTGTGGATATCATACCTCCAAAACCCAGCTGGCCGTGAATCAAAGTATACCTCCCGGACGTTTTTTTCTCATCGACAGTGTAAAACTATTTTCCCTCCAGATGACGTTGAATATCTCCGAATAGCCAATAATAAAAGGGTCAAGTCTGGAGTTTAAGAAAAGTGAAGAGCCGTCCATCCAAAGCGTCTTAGGACTGAATTGAGTTTCATTAAATAACTCGAGAACCTATGTTCCACGGTAAGTCAAGTAAGACCTGGGCCGCTTTAGCTGGACGTTCCTCCTTTACGCACTTCTAACTCCTGATTCGGCCCTTTTATTGTTGATTATTAGGAGATATGCAACGTCATCTGAAGGAAAATAATTTAACACTGAAGTTGAGATAAAATCTGGACTCAAAAAATACTTTGTGTCGCAGCCAGCTGGCTTTTGAAGGTATGGTATCCACAAGTTGCCTGAATGTTGTCAACATGTCATGGACCGCGACGGTGCATACTGTCAATCTTGGATAACTCTTGCTTTTGTGTTATTCACGAATCAAAAAATGGACAGTTACTTTCCGGCCAACCTAATAGAACCATAGCCAAGAATTGGTTCAGTTACTATCACTGGACTAGTAAAGTTTTGTTGAACTTCCATTCTAGAGAATGGCTTTTAAAATTTTTCAAAAACATAACTTTCCTTTCACCTCCAAGAAATGCTACCTTCAATCCATCTCCCTATTGTGGATCAACCGTGTAAAACCTAACCTTATTTTCAATAATACTAGAAACAGTAAAATTTTGGAAGTTGGTTATCCATGCTCAAGTTCATGAGCCTCTGTCCTACGACACTCAGCTATTACACTGATTAGAATTGATTTTTGCGTAATTTTCAAACTTTGAATGTCAAATGTCAAATCACTAAAATACATGCTAGATCTGAAAATTTAAAGTTTAAATTGAAACAGCAAAAAAAAACCATTTTGAAGTAAATGCTGTTTCCAGGTTTTCTTATTTCCAAAGTGAAACATTTAGCTATCAAATAATTCTATGGGCCTTTGTGCAACTACGCTCCGCTATCTCGCTTTAAAAATTTTGAATCCCATCAAATGGAAATCAAACATAGTGAATGAAAAATATGAATATTTCACAAGTTCTGGTGGTGACGGCTTCATATTGGTAAACCAGTAATATAAATGCGAGATCTGAAAAGTGCCAGTTCAATTTGAAACAGCAAAAAATTCCTTAATGAAAGTTTTGTTGTTTCTTGGTTTACTCTTTTCAAAAAGTTGAATATTTAGTTATTAAGTCATGTCTTTCATCCCCAAATAAAAATTCTGAAATTTTTGACAATTTTTTTTGTTAGGTTCAAACCATTATTCCTTCTTTTCTTATTCCAAACTTTTTAGAAACTTCTTCCATGCCATTCAATGAAAGATCTCTTTCATGTTTTAAAACGACGTCCTTTATTCCTCTTCTCCATCTCGTTCCGACGTCCATTAATTAACCTGCCGAAATGAATGCAACTTTAAACTTTTCGGAGGGAAAAAGAGGGAAAGAAGAAGAGGAAGAAGAAGAGTTCCGTTCCATTTTATTTATTACCTGGACTGCTTCTCCGGAAGCTAGCTACATGAAACTTGTGAACTTTGAAACAAGATATTTCAAATTCGTGAGCATTAATAGGTTAATGAAATTTTTATTAGTCTCTTTTTTGAAAATTTGAACTTTTTTTCTGTTTCACTCAATTTTGAAAGTAAATTTGAAAAAAAGGAATTCTAATCATAAAGCGCTAAAATGCTGAAACATAAAAGTTTTATTTCTGTGATGCATACTTTGCGAACTTTTTTAAAACAGTTCAATAGTTTTAGAAAAATTTTCTGTTTCGTCGAATTTTGAAATTGAAATTAAAAATAAGAAAAACTAATCAGAATGCGGAAAAGTGTTACCCAAACCGGAATTTTTCAATACTTTGGATTTATGGAATCTCGAAGTTTTTTCCTCTTGGCAAACATTATTTATTAGTTTTCCTCTCTTATTTACACTTCCCTGAACCGTTTTTTATTCTAGAGACTTCTATTTACATCTTTCCGTGTTTCTTTTCGAAATCCTTCTATTTCCAGGTGATGCCATGAAACATACTTTATTCACAACACTCTTTCTCATCTACTCAACTTTCCACTTACCTACAGTGATCCCATGTGAAGTCACATTTGTTATTGAAACTGCAAGGAACTTCAATTCATCAGATATCGAGAAAGTTCTGGAGAAATCTGTGGATAGTTTATCGCAATGCACCAGATATTGCTCATCGGTAAGTTAGAAAATTAAAATTTTTGAGAGACTTTAAAAATTGTAATTCTGGTTCCTAATTTAATTCCTAACTTATTAATTCCGAAAATTTGGAAGATTGGAATTTTGAAATTCCATAACTTTGGTGATTTGGAATTTTAGAATTTTGGAGTTTTGTAACTTATGAATTCTGGGAATTTTCAAATTTTGGAATTTTGGAATTTGGAATTGTGAAATTTTGGAATCATTGAATTTTTTGAAAAAAAAATTAACTGTTTCGCTGTTCAGGGATAATGTGCTTCTCGCGACAAGTCGTGATACGTGATGTCGTAGGCTACAAAAACACTATTTTAATGATCCAAAATCTTATTTTCTAAAGTTAATTTATAGTAAAAATAGTAAAATCTAACGTTTGCGTTTTAAAGCCCAGGCCCCTCTATGACTTTTATACTGTAATAACAGAAAACATGATTTTCAAAACATAATTTCCATCCTGCATAAATCAAGTCAGCCAAGACTTTCTAGGAGAACTTCCCTACTTAAAAAAACAATTTACTGTTTCAGTTTCCCTGAAACTCTCGTTTCTTTAAAAAATAAATGATTGGAAAGCTTTTTCCAGATCCAAAACTGTTCCCACTTCACTTTCTCCCATGCCGCCGAGAAGAACATCATCTCGAATTGCCACCTCTTCCGTTCAACGACATATTCGTCTAATTCTCCACATTCCATTGAAACGACGTCAGGTTCATTGACCGTCGGAACAAAAACATGTTTAGAAAGTGAGTAGATTCATGAAATTTCTGTGAATCGCCTCTTTTTTTACAGTTAAATGTCCAAAACGAAGTTTTTCTTTCGAAAAGTTTTCCGAGAAGTCTTTGTTGAATTCGTCGTTTATTATTAGGACATTTTCGGTTCCGGTCGAGGAATGTTTGTCGAAATGTCAGAAGGAGTGAGTGAAAGGGATAACCAGACACGAGAAAAGAAGAGATATAGTCAACTAAAAAAATTGAAAACATTATTATTTTACATTTATTATTGAGGAAAATTTGAAGCAGTTATTGAGGAAAATTTGAAGCAACATTATTTTTTGGAGGGGAACAGGGAATTTTAGGAGTAATTTTCTTCTACCACAGGTTTACGGTATCTTTTGCTTTGCACTGAGCAACACATTCTAGAAATTCTAGCCATCACATTTTGCCAAAATTTCTGAATTTGAATTTTGTTCAGAAAATCTCCATCCAGGAAGAAATTACCGTAAACACGCTACCCAAACCGTTAACTTTGAGCCCAGATATTTCGGTTCCTAAGAAAGATATTGAAGAGTTGCAAACTAACAAAATGTTTGCAATTTTATGATAAGCATTTTATCAGTCCACAACTTTCTGGTATCTTTGACAGGAAATGAAATCTACTGACTCAAAGTCGACGGCGTGGGTGACACTCTATTAGAGTGTTTACGGTAAACCCATTATAGTGGGGGGTGGAGCCTGGAAAAAAACTTTCTCCAAGATTCTCAACTGCTAGTTTACTTAATTCTATAATATGGATATAATATTCAAGGAAAGCACATCAATCATAATATAATCTCATTGGAAAAGCTCTGAAACAGTGAACATTTGGATTACGGTTTTTTGTTTCAAAACGATTTCTGTTTCAAAATCCTCAAAATATTATTATCGCTAGTATTAAATAATTCGTCTCTGAAAATCAATTCGAAATGTGAACAATTTGAATATGATTTGATTTCAAATGAATTTTTATGTCCTTAAACCTAATGAATATCTCCTAATCAGAATGGCGCTGAACATTTTGACCAGATCTACCTCAATAGAGATATCAAAAAAAGACTACTGACAAAATTTTTATCGTAACATCAGTAATATTTTATCAGTTGACCACTTTTTGATATTTTACACAGGGAGCCAGAAAAATATTATGATTTTCGGTCGACATCCTGACATACAGACACACAGACTTCCTAATTTCTTTCAGCTCTTCTTGCCGCGCTGCTCTCCACAACCATGTCACATCTCTCTGCCAATTATCTCGAGTCTCATTGAATTCTGTGTACAATCCAAGACTTTATTTCAAATCCAGCTACTCGACAGACTTGTATGAAAACAACTGTATTGATTGTGAGTTGATTTTTCAAGCGATTTTCAGAATCAAAACCCTAGCCATTTTTTTGAAACAGAAAAAAAATTATTTTCCAGACACGATGACAAGCTCCGGATGTACATTTATGCGTGTCAAGGGTGGTGGTTTGAAATCAGTGAGTGATCAACTGATTCAAAATGTTCGAAGCACGGAGGAATGTGAGCAAATGTGTGTTGTCAGGTCCAGAATTGCTGATCCGTGCAGGTTGGTCTTTTTTCACTGTTTCAAGAAACATATGTATTATTTGGTATATTGTTCATTAGAGCTGATAACTCTTTTTTTTTGAATTTGAAATTCGTAAGTTTCATTGAAATTTTGAAATTCATTGAAATTTTGAAACATAAAAACTTTGCAAAAAGATATTATTTTTCCTTGGAAAATTTGAAAGACTGCTTCAGAAAATATGCTTGATATGTTCTCCATCTTTCACATTTGTTCTAGTTCCAGAATAGTTGTTGACAGTAGAATTTTTCAAAAATTGAGCAAAATTATATATTTTTTGTTTTGAAAATTCCTAATAGTAAAACAAAATGTTTCTCGTATTCTGATATTAGTAAAAAAATTGGAAATGAAATCAAAAACTCTCCATCTGAAAAATCTGAAAAAAGTTATGTTTTTCAGATTTCAAATATTTTACTGATTCAAATTATCAATTTTTAAAATGGAATGCATAATTTCAATTGATAATTTTTGCCACCTTTTTTATTGTGATTTCGTGTATAAATAAGCACCACAATCAGACTAATTTCAAAGTTATCACACTAAATTGTTTTTTCAGATCGTACACCTACGATAACTCCACAATGGAATGTCATCTGATGTGGTCATCGGTTCGAATGTTAGGAAGATCTCCGCTGGAAGTTCTTAAGCCAAATCTTTTCCATGGGGATCTAGACGATTGTGTTAATTGTAAGGAATTACAATCATATTAGGGAAACTAACCATTTCAACATTTTCAGTTTCCTTAAAGTGTCGAGAAAATAACTTGGAAATCAAGGCCAGCTCAATGAGGATGTTTATGTAAGTTTCGGTATACAAAAACTTCAATTTCAAATTTGATGGTTACAGCGGAAAAATGATGACCAAGAAATCTAAGAAAATCATGTGCGAGGAAGCTTATCAGGGTGAATATGATTTTTCCTCGAAATTCGATTTCAAGAAATGCGGATTAGATGAGAAGGTTTTTGTTTTTTATATGTCTCAGACTGATTTTGTTTTCTAGAAAACCAAGGATTCCACATACCGGGGGATGGTTCATGTGAAGGAAGGGAGTACGAGTTTAGTGACGATTCGGGATAAAATGCTTCAGGTTAGCTACTTTTTGATGGAATTTTAAAATTTTTTACTGTTTCAAAAATTTTTGGAAAAAAATAGTGACTCTTTTTTGCAATGTCGCGAATAAAAAGAAAATAAAAGTTACATTTCTAAAAATTTCGAAAAATTGATATACGCCTCTCAAAGAATCGAACTTGTAGTTCCGCTTTGCTACCAGTTGACCTACAGTTGCAAATTCCTTAAAGGCGCGTTTGAAGGAGCATAAAATTGCAATAAAAACCGTCCATTTATTTCCAGATTTTTTCAACGAATTTAATTGATTTTGAACGTTTTTTTTTAACGAAAATCGGAAAAATCACAAAAAACTGCAAAAAAGCATTGCAAAATCGATAAAACTCTCTGGTAATTGAAAAAACAGGCCAGAAAACTAAACGAAAATAAAGAAACAATACACTTATTTCCTATAATAGAAGCCCACCCGAACCGCTAAATTTAAGCTCAATTATCTCAATTTCTATGGACGATATCAAAAATTTGTCAACTGATAAAATATTGGTGATATCGTGATAAATATTTTATCTGTTGACAAAACTTTTATTTCTTTTACAGAAATTAAGATAATGTAGCTCAAAGTTGGCGGGTTAGGTGGGCTAGAAAATTCAGGTATGCGCCTTTAAGGATTTTTGCCACCAGACCGAAGCGCGTATAGAAGTACGCCGTTATGTCGGAATGCGTACCGTAGCCCCAAAAATCTCCTGTCTCTCCAAAAAAACACCGAAGTTCTCAAACATTTTTTTCTGTTTCAATGTATAAGTCAATCGAATCTATTGTATTTCATGACAATAATTTGTAGACTTGCTAGTTTCTATAAAGATGCCACTTCCAGGTAAACTGTCACCTTCACAAAAGTATGCCATCTGAAGATAAATTCCTCTCCGTTCAAATGAACGTTCGAGAGAATAACAAAACGAACCAAGTGATGTCAGATGCCATCATACCAACCTCTACGTCATCATCTCCCAACACTCCCAAGTTTTCACTCAAAGTTTTGGGTCTCGACTCGAATGAAGCGGATACGGTACATATTGGAGATTTCGGATGGATAGTTTTGAATGTTAGAAACTCGGCTGAAGATTTCACCGTGACTAATTTGGTTGCTCGGGATGTGATCAGTGGTCTAGTATTGAAAATTATTGATGAGGATGGGTAAGTTCGGACATCCGGATGAACATTATCACAGACTTTGTTTCAGGTGCGTTCTTCGTAGAGACATTGTGAAGGAGATTCGAAAAACAGATAATTATGTGAAGCTGAAAATTAGCTTCTCTGGATTCAGAAGACAGGTTAGTGAGAATTAGTAATATTAAAATTAAGTTTAGCTGAAATTAAATTTCTGATAACAAAATTGTGAAACCGCAATTTTTGTGATTCATCCCAAGGCTGTACAACGGCCGGTCGCGGCTTTCTCTGCTTCAGGAATAGCGGCCGACCACAATTTTACAAAATGCTTCAGTCATATAATTTTGAAAGCAGAATTCTGTAAAAATTCTGAACAAATTAGATTGTCAAGAAAGGGACAATCAATAATCGAAATAATGAATTCCATTTTTCCAGTTGATAATTTGAAACAGTAAAAATTCTAAAATCAAAAAACCAAACAATTCTAGACGGAATCCTTCAAAACTGTCCGCTTTGAGCTTAATTATCTCGGTTCCTGTGAGAGATATCAAAAATTTGTCAACTAATAAAATGTTGGTGATATTATGATAAATAATTTAACATTTGAGAAACTTCTAAAATCTTTACGAAGAACCGAGATAATCAAGGTCAAATGGTGAGCTTTTATTAAAGGGAATACGGTAATTGTATAAATTAAATTGAACTGTAATTGTATTCAGCTAGCATTCAATATTGTATACTAAAGTTTCGAAACAACAAATATTCAAAAATTCTGAACAAACTAATTTGTCAGGATTCTCAAAACCAAGAAGTATTATTTAAATTCTAAACTTCAATTTTAAAATAGATAATTTGAAACAGTAAAACTTTTAAAATCTGAAAAAAAAAGCCAACAATTTCAGACCAAAACTTCAACTTTAAGCTTCATTATTTCAGCTCCTATGAGAGATATTGAAAATATGTAAGCTGATTAAATTTTGGTGATAATGTGATAATTAATTTATCAGTAGACAAATTGTTGATATCTCTCACAGGAAGCGAGATAATCAAGCTCAAAGTAGTGTCAGTTTCATTTGGAGGAAATCATTGTAATTGTTTTCAGCAAACATTTAAATTTAAATACTGGAATTTTCAGATAGAACCGCGATTTTCAGTAATTTTGAAAAAAAAACGACTAATAATTTTGAAAACAGAATTTTTGTGAAAAAAATTTTAAAAAGGTTGGAACTGATTAAAAATACGGATTCCAATTTTTATATTTATAATTTGGAACAGTAAAAAATTTCAGACAGAAGTCGTCTACCACGCAATGGTTGAGACCTGTACAGTTGGCTGCATGCCAAAATGCAATCTGGACATGATGCTTCCCGAAGAAGAGACTAATGTTCATTCTGGTCCACTTTCTCTAGACCTGCCACGTCATCGAATGGTCCGGCGATCGCTGGCAGGAGAGCCCAGAGAGCTAGAGTTGACAAGTGATGTCTACAAGGTCACCGGGCACAAGTTAACTCTTCTGAATCCCCCATTACCCGAGAAGGCATTTGATTTCAAGCCTCCATCAAAGCTGCAAGAAGAAAAAGAAATGCAAGAAAGCCTACAAGAAGAATTCCAAGACGGCGACGTCATCGTTGTGAAGCATTCTACGAGTCTCATGTCATCTGTGAAGACGTGCCTGGTAGATGACGTCACTTGTATGCTAACTGTGATTCTTGGAGCTATCCAAATGTTTTTAATGTTTTCCTGTGTACTTATCATGTATTGTTATTATCGGCAATGGAGATTCTATAGAGAATTGAATCGGCCACCAGAGCATAATGTACAGTATTATCAGAAACCGCCAGAGGTTATCGGGCAGACTTAAGTATTATAATGTGTTACTGGTTCTTGCTTTATCACTTTTCTTTTTTTTTTCAAAATTTCCGGGTTTTTTCTTTAATAATCGCTTTCTTCTTACCTTCCAGCTCTCTACAGTTTCCTGTGCAATTTGCAGTCTTTAAGTCTTTCAAAACTTCCTTTTCTCAGTTGATACATATTTATTTGAAATAAAATTTTATAAACAGCTCCTACATAAATGCACTTAATATAAATACATATGATGAGGTGTACGCTTCTTTGAACTGACAATTCGAACTGCTGGACATTCGGAATTCGCTGGTTTCGGGCGGTATGAAGATCTGTGCTCCGTATTATACTCGGTTGGAAATGAGATTCCGGCGGCGATCCATTTTTCAACGGGCACTGACAAATTCATTCGTTCTATGGGAAATTGGGTGTAGGTCAATCTGAAAAAAGCAAACTATATCATGATGACTTTCTATTCACTATTCACATATGGGACGAAGTGTTTTGCAGACGAAGTGTTTTGAATTGAACAACATCAAACGGACATACCTTGATACAGATTGATCTGTCACTTTCCCGGAAGTAGGACGATCAATTGCATCTTTCGGTCTTGTTGCTTGGAATCTGTCACCAGTGCCTCCTTGATACGTGGATCTGTTGATGGTGGTGGAGTCTAGACCTTCAGTAGGACGATCAATTGCATCTTTCGGTCTTGTTGCTTGGAATCTGTCACCAGTGCCTCCTTGATACGTAGATCTGTTGATGGTGGTGGAGTCTAGACCTTCAGTAGGACGATCAATTGCATCTTTTGGTCTTGAAGCTTGGAATCTGTCACCAGTGCCTCCTTGATACGTAGATCTGTTGATGGTGGTGGAGTCTAGACCTTCAGTAGGACGATCAATTGCATCTTTTGGTCTTGAAGCTTGGAATCTGTCACCAGTGCCTCCTTGATACGTAGATCTGTTGATGGTGGTGGAGTCTAGACCTTCAGTAGGACGATCAATTGCATCTTTTGGTCTTGAAGCTTGGAATCTGTCACCAGTGCCTCCTTGATACGTAGATCTGTTGATGGTGGTGGAGTCTAGTCCTTCAGTAGGACGATCAATTGCATCTTTTGGTCTTGAAGCTTGGAATCTGTCACCAGTGCCTCCTTGATACGTAGATCTGTTGATGGTGGTGGAGTCTAGACCTTCAGTAGGACGATCAATTGCATCTTTCGGTCTTGTTGCTTGGAATCTGTCACCAGTGCCTCCTTGATACGTAGATCTGTTGATGGTGGTGGAGTCTAGTCCTTCAGTAGGACGATCAATTGCATCTTTTGGTCTTGAAGCTTGGAATCTGTCACCAGTGCCTCCTTGATACGTAGATCTGTTGATGGTGGTGGAGTCTAGTCCTTCAGTAGGACGATCAATTGCATCTTTTGGTCTTGAAGCTTGGAATCTGTCACCAGTGCCTCCTTGATACGTGGATCTGTTGATGGTGGTGGAGTCTAGTCCTTCAGTAGGACGATCAATTGCATCTTTCGGTCTTGTTGCTTGGAATCTGTCACCAGTGCCTCCTTGATACGTAGATCTGTTGATGGTGGTGGAGTCTAGACCTTCAGTAGGACGATCAATTGCATCTTTTGGTCTTGAAGCTTGGAATCTGTCACCAGTGCCTCCTTGATACGTGGATCTGTTGATGGTGGTGGAGTCTAGTCCTTCAGTAGGACGATCAATTGCATCTTTCGGTCTTGTTGCTTGGAATCTGTCACCAGTGCCTCCTTGATACGTAGATCTGTTGATGGTGGTGGAGTCTAGACCTTCAGTAGGACGATCAATTGCATCTTTTGGTCTTGAAGCTTGGAATCTGTCACCAGTGCCTCCTTGATACGTAGATCTGTTGATGGTGGTGGAGTCTAGACCTTCAGTAGGACGATCAATTGCATCTTTTGGTCTTGAAGCTTGGAATCTGTCACCAGTGCCTCCTTGATACGTGGATCTGTTGATGGTGGTGGAGTCTAGTCCTTCAGTAGGACGATCAATTGCATCTTTTGGTCTTGAAGCTTGGAATCTGTCACCAGTGCCTCCTTGATACGTAGATCTGTTGATGGTGGTGGAGTCTAGACCTTCAGTAGGACGATCAATTGCATCTTTCGGTCTTGTTGCTTGGAATCTGTCACCAGTGCCTCCTTGATACGTAGATCTGTTGATGGTGGTGGAGTCTAGTCCTTCAGTAGGACGATCAATT